ACATCTCAAATTTAATACATCCAAAAGACAGCCCATTATCTCCTCACCACCACCACCAATCCTATTTTATTTCTAACTTTCTTATTACTGTTAAAGCCACCACTCAGGCTTGTGTTACCCCTAACTCTGCACACTCATTCACTCCACAGATCCAATATGTTGCCAAGACTTGCCATTTCTACCTTCATAACATTTCTTGTATATGTCCCTTTCTCTCTACTTATACAGTTTCTACTGTGGTAAAAAGCCTTGTAACCTCATGCCTAAATGATTGTAATAGTCAGTCTCTTTACCTCACACCTCTCTTCCCTCCAATCCATCTTTCACTCAGCTGTCAAAGGGATCTTCCTAAAATTCCGGTCTGATCATATCATTCTCCCACTCTCCCACTATTCAGTTAACAGCAGTGGCTGACTATTATTTCCAGGACCCAATAGAAAATCCTCTAGCTGGCTTTGAAAGCTCTTCAAAATCTGGCTCTTTCCTAATTTTTCTAGTTTCTGTTTTGTTTTTTTGTACTTTACTCACCTTCATGTAGGCCACAACCCAACAGAATACATCAGTGTTCTTGCTATTCCCCTTATCTCCTTGATGCCATGCCTTTTCAATGGTTATTTGTCATGCCTGGCTGCCTTTACCTCCATCTTTTGCCTTCCTTGGCTTCCATCAAGATTCAGTTCAAATCTCACCTTCAGCCAGGGGCCTTTCCTAGTTCCCATCCCACTTTTCCAGCCCCTGGTGCCTTCTTCTGATATCTATACACATGGATATATGTATGTAAGATACATGGTGTGAGAGATACACATATGTGCACACATGTGTTAGAGGAACATATATGTGTAGAGCACATACATACATGCAAAGGATACATAAATGTATATGTCATATACATATACATGTTATTGGGTCATTTTTAAGTAGTGCCTAACTCTTTATGACCCCTTTTGGGGGGATTTTCTTGGTGAAGATACTGGAGTGGTTTACTATTTCCTTCTCAAGCTCATTTTACAGATGAGAAAACTGAGGGAAATGGGGTTAAGTGACTTGCCCAGGGTCATACTGCTAGTAAGTGTCTGAGGCTAGATTTGAACTCATGAAGATGAGTCTTCCTGACTCCAGCCCGGCATTCTAGTCACTGTGCCACCTAGCTGCCACATACATATACATATAGAGTAATATATGTATATCATAAGCAGATCTATGCATACATATAAATGTTGATTCATGTATATAACTTGTATATACATAGTTGCTTGTATGTTGACTCCTCTGTTAGAATGTGAGCTCCTTGAGGGCAAGGACTGTTTTTGCTTTCTTTTTTCATTTTTTAGGCAATTGGGGTTAAGTGACTTGTCCAGGGTCACATAGCTAGTAAGTGTCAAGTGTTTGGTCTGAGGCCAGATTTGAACTCAGGTCCTCCTGACTGGGGCCGGTGCTCTATCCATTGTGCCACCTCACTACCCCTGTTTTTTTTTTTTTTTGCTTTCTATGTATCCCTAGAGCTTAGTACTGTATCTGGCACATAATAACTGCTTAATAAATGTTTGCTGACAGATGTTCACTGACTGATTGCCTTTTGTTTTTACATTTCATAAGGTCTAGATCTTCTAACCTAGTCATGGAATTTGTTTTGGCCTTCAGCTACAGGATGACCCTGGCAGTAGTCATCTTCTTTCCGGGGAAGAATGCTATTATTGAAATCCCCTCCTTCTGGTCAGCTGTTGCTTAAAGATGAAACTCAGAAATGTAGACCACCAGGTAACCACCCAGGCCTGAAATAGCCCTTCTCAGGATCTCTATCCAATGACCTGTACTCAGGGAAGGAAACAGAAGGAATGAGGATGACATTCAAGTATTCAGGCTCACCTACACAAGCACATGGCCCTCTGCCATAACTGTCGGGAGAGCAGGGAAGGAATGGAAAGAAATCCATTCTTCAAACATCTGACAAAATAATCTTCCTTGTGCATGGCTCTGAACATACTATTCCACCATGCAAAAATATTTAGCAAAGTGTGCCGTCTCCCTCTGTATATAAGATATGATTATAATCTTCTTAGTCTGACATTTCAGGTCCTCTACAACCTAGCTTAATTTTTCTTATGTTGTTTCAAACATTCTTCTCCATGCACACTAGCATACCAGTCATTCCCCAGTCTTTCCCTGGTCTTCTCAGCCTTCATGAATAACTGTATATTGTCCTCCATACCCAGAACACAGTCTCTCTAAACCTGTCTTTTGACATTCTCCATGGTCTAAGAGTCATTCTCCTATCTTATCCTGACCTCTGGACTCCTATGCATTAATGTAGGTTGTCCTCCAATATCTAAAACACTATCTCCAAATCTGCCTCTTGATATCCTTTTATTCCTTCCCAGCACAAGTCAGCCACCTCAGGTGGCACATTTTCAACAGGCATTCAGTTAAACAAGTTTTTATTAATCACTTCCTCTGTGCAAATCTTTTTGGTAAGTAGGAACAAAAAAAGAAACAAAAAAACAAAAACAAAAATGAAATGGCCTCTATCCTCAAGGCATTTACATTCTTTTGAGAGGAGACATCATGGACCAGCAAATGGATCAGTTTGGCTGTTCAATGAAGATATCATCACAAGTGAAAATGACATTTCTCATCCTCAGATTTTTGATGCCACTTGGGACCTCTCCTTTGCCTGTGTCCCATTTTACTTTGTAGCATAAGTTTTATATATGTCTTATTGCCTCTTTTAGATTGTAAACCACTTTAAGCCAGATTTTTTTTTATTTTATCATCTTTGTATGCCTGGCAACACAATGTTTTCAATGCACTAGGTATTTAATAAGTGTTCATGGAATTAACTGTAGAGGTGACTGTTACTGCATGGGGATGGGCATTCTTTATCACACCATCATTTACTAGTCTCTTACTGAAGTCACCAAATAATTGCGTTTCTGTTGCTTGGACCTAATAGCTTCCCACCCTACCCCCTGTACCTATGCCAGCCTTCCAAGGTAGGGTTTTCTTGTTTATTTATTTTTTTATTTTTTGCTATTTCTGTATATTCCTCAAACTTAACATGACAACTGGCACATAATACAATTTTAATAAATGCTTGTTGATAGACATTTATTAAATGCCTACTATTTGACTGGTACCGTGATTAGTAAATAGGGGTGCAAAGTCAAAAAGGAAAATCCCCAGTCCTCAAAGAGCTTACATTCTACTGAAGTGAGAGGGGTAGTTGCAACAAATACACAGATAAATAAAATCCAAATATATACCAAGTAAATACAAAGTAATGGGGGGGGGAATCAACGACATGGTAGGGAGTCAGGAAAAGATCTGTCACTTGAGGTGAATACTTATTAGGCACCTACTCTGAAGCTGGCATTGTGCTTAGCCTTGGGGATGCCAAGACTATCTCTTCCATTATGGAGTTTATACTTTACTGAGTGGTAAAAAGATTGAGGTTTCAGGGATGCACAAGTGATCCAGAGAGCAAAACAGAGAATTCACTGCAAAGTTCATACAGCATTTTTTCCAATTTGGTTGAACTTAGAATGAAATGAGAATGAACATGCTGATGTTAATGTAATAGTGATGTGGCCATTGTTCTGTATACTACTTTTTAATGTGTTTTCACATTGTTTTTCTATTTAGAATAGAGGTGTTATTATTCCAAAACATATTTTTGATGGGTTAAAGATCTAAGAAAAAATGTGAGTCATGGTACGAGAGGTTCAGCATACCATGCAAAGGTTAGTCTCTGTGTAAACAACACACCTTTACTAAGTCTGTATGAGAGGTTGTGAGAAGAGGAGAAAACATGAGAAAACACATGAGAGGGAAGAGGAAAAGCCCAACGGGCTAAGGAACTCAGTAAGATATCCAATAAAGAGTTTGTTATCAATTTATAGTACAGACAGCAGTGAAGAGAAATCTTCTAAGATGAGTTACAATTTCCACATTTTCAGGAAGCTGAACACAATCATTACCATCACTTTGCATTCCCCTCAGGAAAGCCTACTGACCTGCTGATGGGCTACTTGGACTACCCTGGCCTCCCTACAGAAGAACACACTGACCTTTATCCTTCTCCCAAGAAGCAAATCTAAAGATAGGAACTACGTGTAGTGTATGCAGGCACATTTACATGTACATATAGGGAAAAAGATTGATTCAGAGAGAGTCCGGAAGAAAGACAGAGGCAGAGAAAGAGATAATGCTTTAAGAATTCAAGCCCTGCCTCTGACCCTACTGAGTGACTGGGGCAAGCCACTTAACTTCTCCACGCCCCTAGCAGTTCGCTAAAACTATACATTGCAAAGCAGTTATCAGTGGGCATTAGTGAGACAGTTTCCACCCCGGGACTTCTCTCCACCAAAGAAATCCCAAGTCAGACTACAGCAAGTGTATATACGTGACTGTCTGGGCTGGGTCTTGAAGGAAGAAAAGGATGTCAAGAGACTGAAGCAGAGAAAATGTGTTCTAAGTACAGACAACAGTTTGCATCAACAACATGGACCAGAGAAGTCCGGACAAGATTGGAGAAGGCATAAGACAGTCCCTCCTCACAGAGAGTTTTGAGTATTGGGGAAGATGACATGCAAACAATGATGTGTAGCAGGATCCACACAGCATAAATTAGAGATAATCTAGAGAAGGAAGGCCCTAGCATTAAGGGAGATCAGAAAAGGCTTCATGTAAAAGATGAGATTTTATCTGGAACTTGAAGGATGCCAGGGAAACCAGGAAGCAGAGAGGTAGAGGGGGGGAGAATTTTAGGCATGGGGGACAGTCAGTGAAATACTCAGAACTAGGAAATGCAGTATTTTGTGTGAGAAACAGCAAAGAGGTCACTGTCAACAGATTGCAGAATATGTAGAGATGAAGAAAGTATACGAAAACTGGGAAGATAGGAAGAAGCCCAATTACAAAGGGCTTTAAAATCCAAAGAGGATTTTCTATTTGATTCTGGAGGTGATAGGGAACCACTTGAGTTGTGACATGATCAGACCTACCTTTAAAGAAGATCAATTTGACAACTCCATGGAAGATGAGTGGAGTGAGGAGATGCTTGAGGCAGGGAGACCAACCAATAGGCTTCTTTAATGGTCCACGTGAAAAAAGTGATGAGAGTCTGCTCCAGGGTGGTGGTAGTGTCCACTGAGAAGGGGGAATATAAGAGATTTTTCTGAAGGTAGAAATAACAGGCCTTGACAAGTGATTGGACATGGGGGACAGGGTGAGGTTGAGGAGTAGAGAATGACCCCTCAGTTTGAGAAGGGTGGTAGTAATAGAGAAGCAGTAATAGCAAAGTTAGAAGAGAAGAAAGCTTTTGGGGAAAAGATAATGAGTTCAATATTGGACATGTTGAGTTTATAATGTCTATGGGACACTGAGTTCAAGATGTCCAATAAACAGTTGTAGATGTGTTAATGGAGGTCAGGAGAGAGATTAGAGCTGGACAAACAGATCTGAAAATATCTATATAGAGATGATAATTGAATCAATGGGACTTGATGAGATCACCAAGCAAAAGTATATAGGGGGAAAAGAAGGCCCAGGATAGTATCTTGAGGGATAGATACAGTTAGCAGGAATGATCTGGAAGAAGATCCAGCAAAGGGGACTGAGAAGTGGTCAGACAGGTAGGAGGAGAAAGAACCAAGATAAAGCAAAGCTAGAAAGAAGAAAGTACCAAGGAGAAGAGGGTGACAATAATCTCAAAATTTGCAAAAACGATGAGGATTGAGAGAAGGCCATTAGATTTGGCAACTATGAGATGATTAGTAACCTGGGAGACAGCAGTTGTGAATGATAAGGCGAGAAGCCAGATGGCAGTGGGCGATGAGCCTTTTTGTACTCTAGATATCCCAAAAGTCTTGAGGCAGTTTTAAGCTATTAAGTTTAGTTTAAGCTTAAGCTGCACTAACATTATTGGAACACCCACTATTTTTGGAGACATCTTAAACTGAACTTTTCCAGAATTGAACTCATTATCCCCCCCCCAAAAAAAAACACCAAGCAAAAAACTCTCTCTTCTCTTCAAAATTTCCCTGTTACTGCTGAGGGTATTACCATCGTCTCAGCCATTTATACTCCCAACTTGGGTATCATTCTTACCTTTTCCCTGTTACTCCCCATATCCAACCAGTTGTCAATTCCTGTCATTTCTATCTTATAAAATCTCTCCTATATGCCCCATTCTCTCCTCTGATATGTCCACTGCCCTGGAGCAGGTTATCACCCCTTTATCATATGTATTGTTATAACATTCTGCTGGTTATTCTCTGTGCCTTGTCTCTCCCCACTTCTGTCATCCATTGACCTTCCTTAAATAGTTCTGACCATGTTATGCTCCAATTCAATAAACTCCAGGGGCTCCCTATCACCCCCATTTGGCTTTTAAAGTGCTTCATAATTGGGCTCCTTCCTACCCTCCCAGTGTTCTTATACCTTACTCCCTTCCACATACTCTGAGCTCCAGTGCCAATGGACTTCTTGCAATGCCTTGAACATTCTCCTGATTCCAAGCACTTTCACTGGCTGTCCCCCATACTTGGAACTTATTTGCCTCCTTGTTATTTTTGAACTCTTATTAGCCTCCTGATTTCCCTGAAGTCTCAGCTAAAGTCTCATTTTCTTCAATAAGTCTTTCACAGTCATCCTAAACCCTAGTCCCTTCCCTCTGAAATGATCTCCAATTTATCCTGTATATATCTTGTTTGTAAATAGCTGTTTACATGATGTCTCTCTTATTAGATTCTTTCATTAGTTCCTTAGGAGCAAGAACTGCATTTTGTTCTTCATTATATCCTCAGCATTTAGCAGAGTTCTTGATGCAAAATCAATGCTTGTTGATTGACAGACTGATTTACATAGTAGAACTTTAAATCAGGAAGAGCCAAGTTCAAATTCCACCTCAGATACTTACTGGGTATGTTACCTAGGCAACTCTCTTAGCCTCAGTTTCCTTATCTGTAAACTACCCTAAGATTTCTAGGACACCCTGTACAATAGAAATTACTATTATTACCTAATATTTTAAACACAAAACCAATACAACATATCATTGCCAACCAAGGCCAAACAGAACCAGCTTCTGTGTTTTGTCACAGAAGTGATAGTAGTTTCATGAATAGAAAGTAGATAGAGGTAGATTTTGAGGTAAAAAAAAATTGTCAACTGTATTTGGATAGCTCAATGGATCCATGGTATTCTCACAAAATACAGGCACTACCTCAAAACCCCTTCTAGTCCAAGGGAGATCTAGGTTGCTACTGTTTAGCTGGGGTACTCAAACCATCCTAGAATCTGATTTGTAGTCTTATCTCTGGCTGGAGCACCCTATCTGTGCCTTCCCATTTTAGATTATGGTGCACTCTGCTGCTGCAATCCCAGTCCCCGAAAAACCTGTACCAATGTCACGTATGGGGAATAGGAAGTAGGTCAGTTTGATCAGATCATAGAGTGGAAACTAATGTGTAATGAGACTAGAAAGGTAGAGAACTAAGCCAAATTGTTAAAGGCTTTAAAAGAGAAGTTTACGTTTCATTCTAGAGGCAAAAGGGAGCCCTTGGAGCATCCTGAGCAGGGAAGTTACACGGCCAGTCTTATGCTTTTGGAATCTCACTGCAGCAGCTGCGTGAGGGGTGGATTATAAAGTGGAGAGATGGCAGGCAATACTTAGAAAAATGCTCATAAAGAATGAAAAGTTGTCAAATTTTTAGGAAACCAGTAGGATGATTTAGAATGGATGACATCTTTAAATCTAACTAATGCTTAGGCAAAAGCTGCCTAACTTTATGATCCTCCTGCCTGAATGATTTATACTGTCTTACCAAAGTAGGGCTAGGGTAACCATCCAATATCTTTAGTTACATGAGGTCAGGAGAGATTACAATTTGTTTTAAAAAATTATATTTTATTTGGGCAAGAATACGACTTCTTGGAAATCTCACAGTGCTCTTTTGACATTATGCTCTTTTTCCCTCTAAACTACGTGTTTGGCTCCTATGCCCTCCTTATCTCTTCTAAATGCAGAGCCCGAATTACTCACAGTTCTTGCAGCTGTACCAAGGCCCTTCCCCGGCCTGGCAGACTTCTCTGTGGAATTTGAAATCCATGCCTTAGTAAACTTTCCTTTTCCCCCAACACTAGTGGTGATGTCACACTCAAAGCCTTTCCCAGCCCTGAGTTAACCCCTTGGGTTTTAATTTGTTTTATTGTTTGTATATCTCTCTGTCTTTTTTACTTTTTTAGTCTTTTTTTAATATTTATAAAATTTTATACACAATAAACATCTAAAATGAGCACTTCCATATACACAGTACAACAGAGAGGGTTGTACATGAAAATGTGAATCTCTAGCAGCTTGCTTTTCTTTGAACATGTATGATAAATTCAGCATGTTACTTTCTTTTTCCATTATTTTTTCTTAATTTGTTTTGAATTATCAACAATCACTTCCATAAGCTTTTGAGTTTTAAATTTTCTCCCCCTCCCTCCCCACTTCCCTCCCCATAGCATGTTACTTTCAAAACTCTCCTACTTGTCTGTGATTTCTTCTGTCCTTCCCTCTGTTCTCTTTGGTATAATTAAAAAACTACATCTCAAAGATTCTCTTTTCTTTTTATTTCCTTTCCTTTTTTTTTACTGGCAATCCTATCCCTAGTTCCCTCTTCCCTCCATATCCTACCCCCACTGAGAAAAAAGAAAAACAAAACTTTTGCAACAAATATGCATAGTCAAGCATAACAAAACATTCATATTAGCAGTGAATGAAAATGTATGTGTCATTCTGCAACTTGAGCTTTTCATGTGGTTAATATGTTTGTTCATCGGTCTACTAGCATCATAGTTGATCACTATATTAATCAGAATTCTTAAATTTTTTCAATATTTTGTCTTATTGTATAAATCGTTCTTCTGGTTCTGTCTACTTTCCTCTTTATCATTTTACACAAGTCTTGCAAGTTTCTCTGAAACTATCTTTTTCTTAATTTCTTATGGTATAATAACATTACACTATGTTCATACATAATAGTTTGTTCATCATTGTTGTTGTTTGTCCTTCATTTTTGAAGAGGACCAATGACATCATGGGGTGATGTCTTGACTTGCCTGTGAAATGGATTTAAGTGAGGCAGAGTTGCACTAGGTAATCAGCCTAGCTTTCTCTTCCAGAGTCATCGAAATACAATGGCAAGACAAAAGTCAGGATGACTGGAAATAGCTCAGCAATCTGTGGATGACCTTGGCATCTTTGATGTCTGACCAAGCTCACAGCGCCTGCTTCAGCCACCTTCACGGCCATTGGAACAAATTGCTCTCATTTATCCATTCCACTGGGGGAAGTCTTCACATACTTGAGGTAGACATCCCACTAAATCATCGACAGGTTTGAGGCCTGTCAGTTATCCTCGACCTGGCTTAGCCCATCTGCAAAGATGACCTTACCAGGGTGTGGCCACTTCTTGGAGCCACAGGTGAGACAGCTGGGTAACTGGTTGAAAACCAAAGGTAGATGATCAGCCCTGAAAAGGGCTTGGTAAGCCCTCACACCAGAGGGGCTAGTCCTCCCTTAACACCCCATACACCTCTGTTCATCATTACCCCATTGATGGACACCATTCTCCATCTTAGCTTTCAGTTCTTTGCTATAATGAAGAGAATTGCTAATTTTTGTACATAGGGAAATTTTTTCTTTTTCTTTGATCTCTTTGGAAGGTATAGGCCTACTAATGATATTGTTGAGTTAAAGAGAATACATAGTTTAGTGACTTTGAGGGTCTCAATTCCAAACTGCTTTTCAGAATGACCAGACCGATTCACACCTCTACCAAAAGCACATCAATGGGACGATTTTCCCATAGCCCATTCAACAATTGTCATTTTTCCCCTTTTGTTAATTTTCTTCATTTCATAGTTATGAATGATATTTTCTTTCTTAGTCAATAATCAATCACTAAACAATTATTAAACACCTACTATGTGCTAGGCACTGTGCTAAATGCTGGGAAAACAAAAAGAGGCAAAAGACAGTCGTTGTTCTCAAGACTTACAATCTAATGAAGGAACTTACAATCTAATGGTCCTCTAATTTGTTTATGACATGACCTTTTATATTTAGGACATGTATCTATTTGGAGTTTATTGTGGGATATGTGGTTAGATGTTGGTTTATATTATACTAACGTCTGCCAGAGTGCTTTCTAATTTTCCCAGAAGATTTTGTAAATAGTGAGTTTTTACCTTAGGAGTTGGGGTCTTTGCATTTATTAAACATTATGCTACTATGTTAATTTTCTTTTGTATTCTATGTAACTAATATGTTGTGTTGATCAACCTCTACTTGCTAGCCAGTAGCAATATGGATTCAAACACATGCAACAACTTCACATAGTACATTATTTGCTCTAACCAGGCACTAACTTGCTCACTTTTCCCCACCTTTGGATTCAAGTCACTAGGTATCAGAATGTATATTGACTTGATTTAGAGATTTTTTTCAAGTTTTTCAGGGAATTTCTCCGCCATTTAATCCTCTGCAACCAATGTATAAGTTGCAAGTATTTTCCAGATTGTCTTTTCACAAAGAAGTAGTAATATTATGTAGAGGAATTCCCTGGGGAAAAAAAATAGTACTGGGCAGCTAGGTGGCACAATAGATAGAGCACCAAGGCCTGGAGTCAGGAAGACCTGAGTTGAAATACAACTTCAGACAATTACCAGCTGTGTGACCCTGGGCAAGTCACTTAACCATTTTTTGCCTCAGTTTTCTCATCTGTAAAATGAGCTGGAGAAGGAAATGGCAAACTACTCCAGTATCTTTGCCAAAAAAAACCAACAACAATAAAATGGGGCCACAAGGAGTCAGACACAACTGAAATCACTGAACTGAATACTAGTACTGAAATATGTGATGACCAATGTCTGCAAAAATCATGGGTTTTTTTTTTTAGCCTTTGGGCATACAATAAATCTCACTATACAATCTCTTTCTTTGCTGGTTTAAGAAATACCTACGAGTCATCCGTTAACTTAGGTGTAAGTTCTTTCTATCTTCAGATTTTGTTTGTTATAAGATTGTAAAAAAAAAATCAACAGTAACATGTTGATTTATTGGTCATTAAACAAGGATCTCACAAATTGAAGTTTGTTGACAAACTAAAAGCTGCTTGATTTTTATAAGTCTCTGACTCTTTCCCATCACTCTGCCACCATCAGTGAAGAAGTGAAAATGGGCTACACAGGGACTGCAAGTCTTTAAAATTTTTCATGTTTTAAATATTTGCCTAGGCCAAAAATAATGTTATTATCAGGTGACTAGTCTATTGGTGTTATGCCTCTTTGTACTTAATTAAGTTGGTCCTTAGAAAACAGATTGGGTCTGTTTGGTACTGAGGTCATACTAGAAATCTCCAGTGCCAGATCTTGTGTTTCACTGGCATGGTCCTTGAGAATCCAGGAATACTTCTACATAATGATGAATGATCAGAGTATGACTTTGTGGAGGGTTGAAGACTTTGTGGAATTATTAAAAATCAAAAATTGGAAAATAGACAACAGAAATGATATTGATACCAATTATAATAATTTCATCCAGAAGTTTAAGCAAAGCTAGTTAATTGTCAAAACAAGAAGACCAAAAACAGCCAGAAAGCACCTTAGTCAACAAACATTAGACTTAAATGCCAAATGGAGAGATATGGCTGCTGAAGGCTACAATATAATCTCTTCTGTAGAAATCTTACAATTTATGATTTTTTTCTGATCCCAATAATCTAATAAATTCTCTTACAGATACTTTGAGAATCAATCACACAGCATCTTCAAAATTCTGTTGCCTCCAGTATGGACTTTCTCTGTGCATGCTTGGTCTTATTCATCAGTTTGTCCCATCCTTGTTGCCTTTGGTGCTATTGCTACTTCCTCATCAGTACATTAGGGATTCTGATATTAGCATCCCAAAGAAGTCTTCCACTGCCTACTGTTGAAGGAGTAATACTTTACCATAGAAATCTTAGGATATCTTTTCTATTTTTGTCTGAATATTGTCCTTTTTCTAGTGTCATCCTTAAATGCTCTTGGCATTATATTGGCCTTGGCTTAATTTGGTCCTAAGCCAAACTTGAAAATAAAAATAATTTTTTTTCCTCTGTAACTTCATACTGTTTTATGGAGCAATACCATTCACAATTTTTCACTGTTTTCCTCCACATATTTTGTAAATTTTTTTATAGTTGAAACAGGTACTTCCCTTAGATATCATGCACCTCTGATTGTCAAAGAGATCAAATGCTTCCTGAAACAGAGTCTATGCTCTTTTGTCCTCATTGGTGTTAACATTGGTTATACTTCTATATGAATCTTTGATAATCCATGTTGATGTATGTTCCTTTATCCAGTTCCCTTTTTCCATTAAAGTTTATTAACATAGGTCAGCTTAGAGTTGGTCCAGTTGTATGCCATATCCTCTCATTTTTATTCATCTAATTTTGAGTTCATTTTTATCTTTTAATAAGTGGATGGCATTTCTATACACAGATAGCTGACTTCTACACAGGCAATCAATTGTATTCTGTTGAGATACAATCAACTTAATATTTTTTGCACTGTTATTAAGTCTAACAGTCTTATACCTTTAAGACTTAGTATTAACAACACTAGACTCTAACCAGACTCTTTATGAAGAATGGCTTTGGGACCTTATATTGGAGTAATCATTCTGATACATACCAGAGCCACCAGTCAGCCCATGAAGGTGGGCACAGTTGGTGATAATAATACCCACCTATGCTGTTCCATGTTGACAACTGTACTCATTGTTTTGTCACAAATTTTGTACATCTAACATTTTATTCTGCATATAATAAGTCCTTGGTAAAATTGGCTGCGATCTGGTAGTGCCATGGAGAGAGTGCCAGACCTGAAGTTAGAAAGATTCATCTTGAATTCAAATCCTACCTCAGGCAGTTACTACGTGACCCTGGGCAAGTCAACCTGATTTGCCTCAGTTTCCTCATCTGTAAAATGATCTGGAGAAGGAAATGGCTAACCACTCCAGTATCTTTGCGAAGAAAACCCAAATGCAGTCACAAAGAGCCAGACATGACT